CCTCTTGGTGCTGAGGATAACTGTTCTTTATCAGAATGTTTGGCGTGTCGACGGCACCGCTTATTTCCCGCACTTGAGGCTTCGTTTGGCGGACGGACTACACAAGGTTGTCATGTTCATGGATGACTTCATCGTGTAAAGCCTTTCGTGATATACCGGTCACTTGGAAGCCGTATTGAAGCGAAGCTTGGAAGCATGCATGTGTGTAAGTAAAGCAGTGACGCAGCTCCATCGGGCCTTGGTGTCAATTTCTGGTCATGAATCGCTTCAAGAAGAGGTTTTCTCGCTGCCGGAAAGACTGACAAAGGTCGTGGACCATGCACTCTCCAATTTATTATCTGGGACGAGCAGAACGCTACTTTTGGTTTGTTCATGTTTTCAACGTGATTTCGCTCTATTATGCGACTGACTGTATCAAAATAGGGAGTAAGATCGGACAAGCGAATCGCATAAGAACTCCGAACGTGTCAAATTGCGGATGCCGGCCCAGAAACTGACCGTCCACCCATCCATGGTCAGACTGGATGGAATATCACTGCAGTCATAAAGCAGGAAAATCGGGTCATCGAGTATGCCAGTTATGTTCTGACTAACGCTCAGCAGATGTCATGAAAAATTCGGTAAGTTTAGTGACTTTCTGGGCCTTTGAAAACAGAGACCATAATTTCTAGGAACAATGAGTCTGCACTCGGGTCCATCAGTGCATATGAGGGCCAGACGCTCTTTCGATTCGTTGACTGTGCTCTTCTGAAAACGGGGATAAGCCCCATTCTTCCTCCAAGGCCAAGAGTTATTGAAAGCCGCGGATTGAAGAAACAAAAATTACTCCAAAAATAATTACAATAATTGAGCTGAGCATAAATAATGAATTGAATAGTCTGTTCAGCAAGTCAACCCGGCTAACAAGATGTCTTCTCTCGGCACTTTTCACTGATATCAGGGATACACCAGCTGAGAGCGGGATGGCTGCGCGGAATGTCGATCGAGTGCTCGTGTGACAACTAGCCTGTTTCAGGTCTCAGATACACTGTTAAGATGTTACAATCTCTTTGCCCAAAGAATGCCAGTTAATATGGCTGTCCCCCTTTTTACCGAACTAGGCACTCAGGTTGCAGACCCCTGATCATAAAACCAAAGCACACGTCCAATGCAAGATCTCGTCAGCATACACTGGTTATATCTATCCGTCTGGGGAGGCAGCGTATTGAACACATATATCAGGCTCGTCGAAGGTATCTACAGCACTGAGTCGACAGCCAATAAGCTCACTCAAACCGTAAAAAATTCAGCACAATGATGATGCCAGTTTTCTTCCACCGGTCAAGGTGAATTTCTCTGAACCATTATCGGTGTCGAATCGCCTAGGCGCCCTGCGTAGACCCATTTATGTCTGCTGAAGGTAGGGATAGTAGCGTTGTGCTGTCGATAAGCAAAACCAAGAGGTTTCCGTGCGGCATGTTGGCTGTTCTCAAATGGTTCCAACTTGTGACTAACTTTGAACAATCGAACTTTTGTGTTTCCTCCCCGGAACGAGCGAACAACACAAGCTCAAAACCACCCTGTCAGGGAAATTAGCTTTTACGGCATTTCTGTGGCCCAACAATGCTAAAAGGCGATCTATGTGACCAAGCACCTGTCTCCGGTATTCATGAGCCATTCGCATCCCTGAAGCAAGTTAAACGTGCGTGTATGGGTTGCCCATGTAGGCTTCCCATTCATCATCGGCAGCTGGCAGAGCAAAGTCTGCCAAGGGCGGCAAACTCACATCTCTTGTTCCATAGGACACTCATGGAGGTCATTCTTTCCTTATTTAAGCTGCATCAACGAGCGATGTCTTTCGTGATATCAATGGTATACCACCCGACCTTGCTTATCACTGGTGTCCGCGGGACAGATTACCATATCCTGGTTGCTGCTGTGAAAATGAGCATTGTCCGATTTATAGTGATGATTTGCAGATGAACTCACAGAGTTGGTGCCTACACGCGCTGAAGGCGGTTGCTTTAGTTGCTGACCTGTCCGGTAAGCGCAGCCCTCCAGTAAGCAAGCCACCAACCAGAGTCGTGTCCCTATGTGGACGTCGACCGCTCGGGCGAAGCATGTCCCGTTGGACATTTGGGGTGAAAATATTTCGTAGCATGTTGATACTGGTAAGCTGAAGTGTGTTCACACGTGGACATGTTTTAGAACTAGAGTTCCAATCGCGAGATGACGATGACTTTGTCTTACTTGTAAACGATTGAATGCACCCAGGCTCTCTTCAAGACTGTACTATGCCGCTAACCTGATAGTCACTCAGTAGCCATAGCAATTGCGCTTAATTACTGCATGGACCCGCAGGCTATATTGGTTGGGCGCACACTCCAAAAGGCCGGATACAGAGCTGTAAAATTCTTAAATGAAATGACAATCTACTCACAAAAGCCCTTCCACCATCCTGTGGTTTAATCCTCTGTTCTGGTGGAACAGATTCGAGCCCAAGGATTATTTTGCTCACCAAGCTGATAACATCCAAAACACACGTTTGAAGAACCCTGAAGTCCTTTGATCCCAGGGAATAAATCTTAACAAAAAAGCAAGATCATTTGCGATACCTCCTCCTTTTCAATTTCAGCTTTGCCTGTATCAAATAACAATAACAGTCACTACGTCCCAACATCGCCACATTAATGCGGATAATACAGGATTGAGGGTGGAACCAACTGAACAAGCATTAAGTTAGCTTTCGTAACATTAAGTTGTTTCAACGGTTTGACGATGATATGCACGAGATTAAATTGGTCCTGCCTTTTTTTCAAGTTCATCGCCGCGTGAAAGTAGCTTACGTAAAACGAGCGGGAAAGGGTAGGTAAAAATAATTACAGGCCACCGTTGGCCTATGTGTTAGGCTGCCATGTATCGTTGAGGATTCAAATTCAGTGACTCGAAACCTACATGCCTAACACTTAAGATATGCAGTCAAGATGAGTAGTGACACATTCGGTTGTGATGACTAAGGAATGTAACGGCTAACCTTCCGTATAATTGCTCCATCAAGCAATTCCACACCTGCACCTACTATCCACATTTTTTGTCTGCCTCGCCATCACGCATCAACATCATGCCAACGAATACGAACTTTAGCCGACAACCCGTTAGGGCGTTAGAAGGTATAGCCGCTGCACGTGTTCCTTACTTGTCCGCGGACTTGTGGAGTTTGGCTCCCTCCTTGTTCCTTGCGCACACGTGAGTCTGTGTGCCAACTGTTTTGTCTGTAGAAAGTTGTGTTGTGTGTCGATTGACGGAGTTCTGTCCTTATATACATCTAGTTGATTGTGGAAAACAACAATGTGCAATCACATCGATCCTTTAACAGGTTCGCGGAAGCTGTTGCTGGTCAAAGGTCGTATTCGCTGGCACGATGATGATGCGTGCTTGCGAGGCAGACAAAACAAAATGTGGATAGTAGGTCCAGGTATGGAGTTGCATGAAGCCGTTTCAGGATCTTCATTGGCCACGTATTTGGCAATTTTGCTTGTTCCGAAATAACGGGGAAGATGTCTCACTAGAGTAAGGATAACTTATATACACATTGACGAAGAATACTTAAACATCTCCTGCCCAGTAGTGCAGTCTTGGGAGTGTAGGTCATCCATAGCTGTTCGCAGCGGACTCTATATTGCAATGTGCATCAAGTTATCCCCGGATATTTTCCTCGGTGCAGTGGATAGTAGTCCAGGTATGGAGTTGCATGAAGCCGTTTCAGGATCTTCATTGGCCACGTATTTGGCAATTTTGCTTGTTCCGAAATAACGGGGAAGATGTCTCACTAGAGTAAGGATAACTTATATACACATTGACGAAGAATACTTAAACATCTCCTGCCCAGTAGTGCAGTCTTGGGAGTGTAGGTCATCCATAGCTGTTCGCAGCGGACTCTATATTGCAATGTGCATCAAGTTATCCCCGGATATTTTCCTCGGTGCAACGCGTGCATCGCTAACAACCAAGTTGGGCGAACGTGTGTTTAAACTAATCTAATTTGTTACATCGGACGAGCAGAATGAAGCTAATAGTCATTCAAACATCCTTTTGAGTGGAATCTGCTTTGGAATTTATGTAAACTTTACCTCCACTTTTAAGAACCCTGTAGACTGTTGCACTTTACAACGCTTTCGATATACGATTTATCGTTTTTGGATACATGATCTTCAAGCGCCATAAGGCAGTAACTGCCTGAAAGTTGTGGTTCATGACAACCTACGTGGACGGAAAACTGAAAGAAACTTTATTAGCCGAAGTGCTCTGTGCAACGTTCCACACTCCTGATAGTTGCATAAGTCAAATTAAATGACAGGCACCGTACGGGACAGTGGATATCCGGAAGTTTCACACCAATTACCGACTTTCGATGGCTTTTGAGTTTCACCTACACATACCAAAAGCTGTGAGAAACTTAGCCTTGAATCGAGTAGTCGTACTAGATGAATTCCCTGAAAAACTCCCCACTCCGAGACCAATTTAGGTTTGCCGCTAGTGATCGATACACTTCTAGTTGCTTTACAGCCTTCCACTTAAGCGGACTACAAAAGGCACACCGCACAACCAGTACAAGTAGACACTCATGCTCCCATTGGTATTGAAACATTTTTTCTATCGGCTCATTACCAATGTTGTTCTACCAGAATGGCACCAGAATGCCTTACAATACAACACAATTGTATACGGTTGTATACAATCTTGACGGCCTCCTGAAACGCACACATATTGCAGTGAGCCTACAAAAGGTTTCTCGTTTGCCAGATCAGCGGGGGATATGTTGCTGGTCTGTTGTTTTTGTTTTATTGCACCGTATCTATGTGTTGCTACGGAGGGGCGGCTTGTTACCATCACTGGCGGGAAAAACTCAATGGTAAGTCCTTCGCTGGGTGTCCGAAGTTCTCAATTCTCTCGTGTAACCTATTTGGTCACTAGTGCATTTGCCATATTTCACTTATCTGTGCTAATTGGATTTTGTTAGAGTCGTGGAATTCCAAAAGAAGGAAGGGTAAATGTTAAGTTTCGTCGTTCGGAGAGCGAGGGAACAGGCAACGAACTATTCCTTCCGCCTTTTTTGTTCTCCACATATGTTGGTTGTTCGGCGTTTGAAACTCATTTATACATATCCCCCGGCTAACTTTCTGCGTAATTTTTTTCAGTCGGAGGTTGAGGAGATCTTCAAGCGTCTGCTATCCCATAAGGGCGTCATGGGTGCGATAATTGCGAGTTCTGATGGTGAGTCCGTAATAAAAGCTTAAGCGTGAGCTTTGGTATTTATTCATATTTTGACCATACCGTTATAATTGAAGCGACGTCTTGTGATGGACTCGGTTTTTTTCATTCCACTCGCCCATCCAGAAACCGTTCCGAAGCAACATCCGGCCGGGAGCGACCGGGTCACTGCCCCATTGCGAAGTCGGCAATGAAGATGCTGCCCGCCGAAGGGGTAACCGAAGTTTGATCAATATTTTCTATGAGATAATTCACTCCGACTTCGACAGACAAATAGTGAATCTTAACGTCGTGCTGGCTTGAGCTGCAGCGTAAAATATCCCGTGAATTGGGGCAAGTTGACGGCTTTTTTCCCATCCTCTCCGGAGAGGTTGCCCAAGTCTAGACAGGAGAAGCCGAGAGGCAGAGGTCGGGTTTTAACCACGGATCTTCCGGTCAGTAAATTCGCGCTCTAACCGCTTGAGACATCTCGCCCTACACACTGTTTTGATCAGCTCCGGAATCCTGACCTGCACCAAAAAGGTGGTCTTCATAAGTGCCGGAGTCAGGTTTGTCGTCAGCGAACTAATGAGGCGAACTCTGGAAGGTCTTCAAAACCCTGGGGTTCAAATTGTTGCTGATTTGAAGCTTGCCTATCTTGTCGTCAGCGAATGAGGCGAACTCTGGAAGGTCTTCAAAACCCTGGGGTTCAAATTGTTGCTGATTTGAAGCTTGCCTATCTGGAGTACACAGACGACGAACATGAGTGGCGACTTGCTCCTGAAGAATGCAGGCTACTGTGATGACCCTACGACAACCACCGCTTCCCTGTACTTGGGCCTTTCGGCCAAGGGCTTTGATTGGGGACTCTAATAGTCCTGTCTACACCTGGGCGCGCTGTCAGCCGTTGTGTGGTATCAACAGGCGGGCCTCTTACTCGCTGCATACAGCAGTACTGGTAAGCAAAAGCAGACGTCTTCTTTCTTCCTCTTTGACATGTTTGCTCTTCCCCTCCTCAACCCGTTTCTAGCGACATTCCCGCGAGCCCATTGTTAAGGACTGACAGGTCTGCTCTCCTCCCGTTACCGATACCTACAGTAGCTACGGTTGACTCGGTTTTCATGTTCAGACAATTCGACATTCAAACCCTGACGGCGGGTTCTGATAGTCTTTGATGGCCGCACTCTAAAGCAGGCTGAGTAACAGACTTATCTTGCAAATGTGCTGAATTCGCTTTCGGTTGATGTGTGAATTCTATCGGAAATAAGGACTTGAGACGGTGGATAAACTGGCCTCTATAGGTTCCCGCACGTTGCGTACCTGTGGTGATCCAGAAGCCGCTGCTTCTGGTTTTGCTGTGGTTGGTGTTGTTTTAGGCCACCGAGATGGAAGGTCCGGTACAGTGGTAACCCATTGACAGTGGTCTATGTGCGGTTCGTTTGGCAACCTCTGGGAGTGTCCGGTGAACGCGTCGGCGATCGCTGCCTGTCCGTCACATCTGTTTGGTGCACTCAAAGACAGCTTCCACAAAGGTTTGCGTACCCTGTTGCGGCGGGCTAAGAGCTCAGATATTGTCGTGATTACCGGCAAACTGGATGCCGCGTAGGTGGAGGTACCTGTGCAAAGCTTGGGTGGTTGTCCAGGGGAGTGGAGAAGCACGGGAACCGCGAATGTTTATTGCATTTATGTGCTCACCACAGACTTTCTGTGAAGTACCAGCCTCCAAAACAACCGTAGCTACTTGGCCTAATGATGTTCATTCTCATGCGAGCCAACCTCCAATCCAAATAGTTTGGTTTAGTTACTGGCTGTCACTCGTTCGGGAACATCTGTGTGGATTCGTATCACTCGTTCGTGCTGCTGCTTGTTGCGCTTTTCAGGGGCATGCAAGACAAGCACACCGCCTGGCCAGTGATGAGTTCTCGGACTCCGTTGTGAAGCAGAACCACATGCAGAAGTCCATTTCAGATAAGACCTTTTCTGGTGTTGATTCTTACTGGAAGACACTGTCCGCAACCCTGTAAGATACCGAGGGCTCCGCCTGTGGAATTGTTCAACCAACTAGACCTGGGCACTGGATCTCGAGCAACACTAAAACTTATCGAAGCTCGGACATGTATTTTCCTTCTTCAGAGTACATCATCATCCATTCATGTGAAAAGATGCCTCTTTGCGGTTCGAGACGCTTGGTGGATCCGAAAGGCTGAAGTAAGGGGGGGGGACTCGGGATGTACGTAAATGTTGCAGCTGATGCGCTCTTCGGGTCCAAATATACCTCTGGTGGGCGAAATGTCGCCGACGTAGATGGCTAGCCTATCTCTAGGAAAGTACGGCGCGTAAATCTTTATGTTGAACATTTTCATTGCCACCCACAGTTGCTCAGCCGGACACTGCCGTGGACAGTAAACTTGGAAATCCCGACGTCTTCGAAAGTAGGCGGATGTCTTTTGTTCCCCAAGCGTCACCGGGCCAATAATCCTACTGAACTATCACCTGATCTCAAAGTTAGGCGTGAAGCCCTCAGCCGATTTTTGTCTAATTTATTTGCGTCCTAAATAACCGGGGTGAGTCGGTAGTGGCGTCTGTTTTCAAAAAGAACGCCCGCGTTAAGTGTGGTAATCACAGGAATTAATTTGACTCCCACTGTAACCAGACTGCTTCGCTATATTACGACGCCTTACAAAGGCGCGTGAAGACGAGACCAAAAAATCGCATGCATGATTCTGGTTTGGAAGAAACTGTGTGAGCAAGATGACCTAGTGGTAAGGGTACGGATTTACTGACATGTTCCATGGTTCAGACCCGACCTCTGCATCTCCACTTCCCCTGTCCAGGCTTGGGTATCCTGGCAGTATCTTAGCCCTCGTGCTTCGGGTTGCATGGCAGCTAGGCACCGGAAGGATGTTACAGCTGAACGATTTCTTTTAATGGTGGACAGAATTTGATATATCAGAGGGGAATGAATGATGTTACGAAAAGTTTGGCTGCTGTTAGTCTCCCAGGATAGGGTCCTCTGGCCTCTCCCTGTGCTTGGCTGGATGAACTAGAAATGGTGGCTAGCCGATGCAACTGGCCTCCATGCTCAGTCTCGGTCCAGATTGTCTGACTGAGTGTTGGAGGTGTAGGGACCGAATGTTTGCGGTAGGCTAGCCATAGGTCCCGCTCCCTGCTATGTTTTTTCTTTCAATTATTAGGTTTCCTTCATATAAAATGACGTGGTTGTGCGGCGGCGGAGCAACAGTGTTCTCATATCGTGTTGATGTAACTGATAATGATGAGTGCCAATTTCCGAAATCGTCTGGCCACACTACTAATAGTGCACCAGTTACGGACCCCAGATTTCATATTGGCGCCAGTTACTGAGGGCTTAGATCAACCACTAACTGTCGCTCGTTTTGGAGCACCTCGGTCGATTTCGACCAGACACTCGTCCGAAGTCCCTTTTTCCTGCTTCACAGGACCACGTAGGGGCAGACAATCCGCCTAATGACTGGCTGGAGAATTCCGAATTTTGACGTGTTTATTAGAACCGACTTCTAGACTCTTCATTTACTTTTATGTCGGGTGTCATTTTTGACTGGAACATGATCGCCATATCTTTGAACAATACCGGGATTTTCGTTTGTGACACGGTGCTAGTAGGTTCGCTGAGGGGCTGGATATCAGGCATGGCAGTGGTGCTGCTTGGATTTCAGAGAAGTGTTCCGGCCGAACGAATTCTCAGACGTCAAGTGAAACTTAGCGTGCCGACCGTGAAACCTGGCGGACACGGGAGGCTAAGGGAATGGAAGTTCAGTCCTTGAAACTAAGTTTTTTTTAGCTCAAACCGTACACTAAAATGCGTCCTTGAAATAAAAGTTTTTTTAGCTCAAACCGTACACTAAAATGCTGCTACAGCTTCCTTAACCGTGGAGAAAGAGAATAAAGTAGTGCAAGTTACGTGTAAGAGGCGATGCCCAAATAAGTCGGATGTTTCTGTTTGTCTGGTCTGAGGGCTACAGCTGGACCACTTTTCTGGTATGTCGGGTTGGGAGGCACACGGTGAAGGTGATAAATTTGATACTAGGCTGCCGTTGGCTGCGCGAAATAGCTACATATGTCATGGTCATTAAGGATTGCTTTGTCTCATCCTGGGGTCCCCTTCTGGGAGACAGCTGCTACCAGCCAAATCATAAACCGACCGCCCCTGGGTTGTCTTCATCAGACACAAGGCTGCGTCAAGAGGGCTCTACGAAGTACATCACTGGCGTAACCTGTTGAGTGTGATCAGCTGATCTATGGATGAATAATAAACTTACCCGGAAACCAACTGATGTAACTCAGCATTACTGATGTGATGTTTTTGATCCGTCACGAACAGGCTGGACCGTGGTGTGACGGCTTGTGTACTTCCGCGACCCATTAAGCTACACTCGGGGGTGTCCGCGCGACACTCGCTGAGTCTCTCATACCAGGGTGGTCAATCATTAGAGGCCTGACGAGCGGTCTCCTGATCCTCCAGGTTTGGGGGTTTGAACACGGATGGCGACTTGTTCCGTAAAGATTGAAATGCACTCACATTTCCCTCCAAATATCGCTGCCTTCTGGTCAAGTTTTTGAACTAGAGGCTTCGGTTGATTACCGTAATCGTCCTGTCTAGGAGTAAGCACCCTGACAGTATCTTAGCCCACGTACAACCATGAATTGTACACGTAAAGATAAACTCATGCCACATCGGCTTTGCGCCTAGTGCCATCAGCTGGGGCGCTTTATTTGCTGCACATAGCATGGCGGGGAAGCAAAAACAGGCTACTCTCTTTCTTCTCTTCCACATACTTTTTCTTCCTCTCTCCCCACCCCATGGTCAACTCTCCTTGTAAGCCCAACAGTCATGACTGGTGACCACGCTCACCCTGCATCGGCTTTGCAAGCAACACTTGCAGGTTATCGGGCGCCAACATTCTCAAGTTTCTCGAAGTCAATCTGGTCAATATCTGGCCGCCTTCAACATTCGCACTCTAAAGCAAGAAGGACAAGCTGCTCTCGCTCTCATACGGGACTCGACGTTGATGTGTGCTGTGTATCGGAAACGGGAAGCCAAGATGCGAGCACAATGGTCGAGCCAACCGCCCCATCACCCTCCGTTCACTTCCGGCTGCTCACCTCTGGTGATCCAGAGGCCGCCGCGGCAGAACGTTCGGAGATTGGTATTGTCACCGCGTGGAAGGATCTTCACTGGATACCCGTTGACGGTTGCCTCTGTGCGGTTTGTCTGACAACGTCTGTGAAGGAGTCTCACAAGCTGGCGGTTGATCGGTCTGTTTGTCGTGTCTGCTTACGCCCCAGCTAAATGTAGTTCTGATGCCGTCAAATTCAAGTTTTATGATACCCTGAGTACTCCGTTGCAGCGAACCAGAAGCTCAGATATCGTTGTAGTTGTTGAAGATGTGGATGAACAAGTAGACAGGCTTAGTGCATCTGAGACTCAGTTAGGTGTTGGACTCAGTACGTACGGACAGTGGCACACAGTTGCTTCAGCTTTGTGCTGACCGCAGGCCGTTTTTCTGCAGTACTGACTTTCGAAATAGCCTAAGCCTTCTGGCCATATTGTGTTCTCCAACTGGGAGTCGGCCTCGAATTCATATTGATCACATTGTTATCAGTTACCGATGGCGCGAATCATTGACTGGCTAGCGCTCGTTTTGCAGCACATTGATGGATTTCGACCCCACGCTCGTTCGAATTCTCTCCCTTCATCTTCCTGGGCCGCTCGCTACTAAGAGGCTGATAGATCTGGATGTTAGACAAATGAGCCAGGACCGTTTTTTTACAGCCTCTTCCAACCGCTCAATTATCAGATGCGAATTCATACTCAGAGAGGTCGCCACCCCTTTTCAAAGTGCTGGGAGTTTTGCCTGTGGCACTTTGCTACCAGGTTCACTCGAGCACTACATCAGACCGATCAATGGCACTGCTCATGTCTCAGAAAAATATTCCAGACAGTGTCGAACATAACCTGGCGAATTACCATACGTAAAGTGAAAGTGAACGTGCGATCTGGCCTTGAAGTCTAGTAGATACGGAAAGCCAAGGAAATGAAAAAGGCATAAAAAGCCGAGAATGCCTGGAGATTATTCAATGGGTCCATGCGACCGGTCTTCGGGGACCACACACGATCGAAGCTCCCAGGAATCAGAATAGAGTGGCCATCATGTATATAGGGGGGCGAGATGGCCGAAGTGGTTAGAGCGCGGATTACTAACCTGAAGGTCCGCGGTTCGAATCCGACCTCCGCCACTCGACTTCCCCTGTCTAGGCTTGGGCAACCTGGCAGTATCCCAGCCCTCGTGCTTCCTTCGGGTGGCATGGCAGCTAGGCACCGGAAGGGGGCTACAGCTGAACGCTTTATCTTTTATCTATCATGTATATAGAAGAACGCCTTGACCGTTGAACCGAGTACTTCGAGCAACAGCTATTGTAGCCACCAGCCGCCACTTACCCGGAGCTCGTGGCTGACGTAAAACCCTGGATGGTGAACGTGGAACCTCCTATGACCTTGGAGGTTTACGACTGTATATCTCCCCTTAAGTGCCACCGAGCTTCTGGTCCGGATGACCTCCCACCTGTACTGTTCAAAGATACGGGTGAAGTCTGATCTGTTTTCTGCATTTGGGAAAAAGCAGACTATCCCAGACAACTGGGGAAAGTCGGTGGGAGTTCCCATATTTAAAAATGGGCTCCGAGGGAGTGTGCTAACCGGGGTCTTCAAAACCCCTGTGTTAAAATACCCTCTGCCAGAAACCCTCTCGATCTGGAATGCTCTGACGACACCGTTCTTGTCCTCAAAAGGGAAGAGAAATTGCAGGTGTTTTTTCTGGATGAACTGACCAAAGTCATCCCGCCCTTTGCGTCCATAAAGTGAAAGGTCATGCTGCTGGAGATGCAGTCACTGAAAACGCCGCTTATAATCCAGAGAGAGGCACTGAGAGTTGTGGGGCGTTTTATTTATCTTGGAATTTGTATTAGTTCTGGTGTTAGTGTGACGGATGAGGTCAATGCACCAATCTGCAAGTCTGTCGTCGCGTTTGCCAATTTGAGGCACCTGTGGGGGCAAAGCGGTATATCCCTAAATCTCAGACGTGTCAGGCTACAATACGGACTGGCTTGTTGTATGGCTGTGAGAGTAGGCACGTTTGAGCATCGGAGCTGATATATCTTCAGGTGTACGACAACCGTTATCTCAGAAGTACAGCTCGTTTGGGTTGGTTTCGGCGAATTCGTAACGGGGCAAGTAGAAAGCGAGTTTTTGGTTGTGCAGTGTAGACTTTCATCGGCGAATGTGTCCACCGCTAAAAGCTGCGTCCGTTAGGCCATGTATTGCGTATGATGAACCATCGTTTTCCAAAGAGGGCGCTGATTTCCGTGCCTCAGAGTGACGGAAGCAGAGATGTGGCCAGTCCTTGGCTTGGCGGAGGGATATAAATACGATTACGGAACGTTTGGGTGCTATCGGTATTGCTCGTCTTTCAGGATGGGGACTACGTGATCAGCATTCCTTCTGGTTGGAGATGCCGCAAGATATGGCTGCTAATCGGTATCAATGGGGTTGTGGATTATGGAGATGCTGATCCCCTGGAGGGGGGACACCTTACTGCCTTTACACTTCTGCCGTAGAGAAAAATAAGATCAGCATTCTGGTTGGAGATGCCGCAAGATATGGCTGCTAATCGGTATCAATGGGGTTGTGGATTATGGAGATGCTGATCCCCTGGAGGGGGGACACCTTACTGCCTTTACACTTCTGCCGTAGAGAAAAATAAGACTACTTTCAGACTGCCCTTTGATGCGATTTCTCGATGTTCTTCGTCAGACTGCTTATTATTGGCCTTCCTGGCACGGTTGAACCTTTAGGAACTGAGTTCCAACCATTGGAGCCCGCCGGATCATTGTAGCACAGAAGCCCGACCACCACGACATGAGGATTTTAGGTCAGGTGCAAGACATGACACTAATAGAAACACTGGCAGGCGTATCCCATTCGCGCGCTCAATTGATGAGCATGCTTCGAACTTGTCGTGTTCAGTGCATAACTCTCAATCTTCCAAATGTCCCTGTCACGCCAGGATTTACGTGTCACTTACATCAGCCATTGCCATCAGTGTGTAGCTTTCACCGCGTATATTCCTAGGGCCGAGGAAGCTCAGTATTCAAGGCATGGGCTTAATGACCGGAAGATCAGTCGTTCAAACCCAACCTCGGCATCTTGGCTGCTCATCTTTGGACTTGGGCAGCCTGCTAGTATTTCAGCCATCACGCTTCTTTTGAGTAGCGTGACAGCTAGGCACCGAAATGATGTTAAAACTGAATGACTGATTTGATTTGATTAATCTAGTTGCAGTAGCCCCCTGTCACCAGAAGAGGGAAAGTTAGTAGGGGAAACGCAGTTCAGTTACAGTACTCGCGTCCTGGATCCTCATGACGCTAGTGCAGAAGGACTCCAGCCTTTGGGAAGGACCGCTTGTTGTCCTGCTTGTTTTAGTCTACGAATGTAGATCGGATTTTGGGGCTTGAACTCTGACTTCTAGATGTTATCATTAAAGATGGACTCGCAGGAGCTGCATTTGGGCATGATGCAAGGCGAACAGTCTTAGTATTGTGACCTGTAGGGAGAGTACTTGCACTGGAGTGGGCAGAATAGAAGGAATACGTGAAAATAGTTAAACGTCGGAAGTAGCGTGTTTTCGGTACTCGCTTTGCCGTATACAGTAAGTGAGGTGACCCGGTGTTGTATGATGATGGTTGTTTGTGAACTGGGATAGTGACAGGGCGTCCACAACAGTACAATTGGGGCCCTTAACCAAGTTTTTAAGGAACACGTCGCCATGGCTTTTTCAGCCTCTAACCTGGGGATCGCGAGTGTCCGTCATACATCTATCTGCCAACCAATTTAGTATGAGAAACTGCGGCTGTCGAACTATAGCTTAATGGGAAAACGGTGCGTGTACATGTCTGCACATGTGAGCATGCGGAAAAATTCGTCAGCTTCAAGTTAAAAACATTGTGGCGTTAATCGACAGAATACACGACACAACAGGGGAGTCGATAATTTGATCAAGACCAGTGGGCGGTGTCAGACACCCTGTTCTCGGTATAAAAATCGATCTATCTAACACGGTTACCATGACCCCTGATATTCTGACTCGTAATACTGGCACGCGGAATGCCAATTCGAGCAGGTTTGGTGTGTATCTGTCGTATCTTCCCGTTACGTAAAATGTCAGCACCACGTACAACCATGACACTTGAACGTAATCACGCATATCGCCAGCCAACAGCTTTCCTCGAAAAGAAGAGGATCTGTGACTTTGTGGATATATTATCGCCTTTGAAACTTGTGGATATGCCTCGTACCGTTTATTCTGGCGCCTCTGATCATCTTAGGGTTTACAGTGAGCTGTTCGTAAGTTTTCGCTGGTGCTGCCCCTTGCCGCCACTTTTCTCAATACCGCAGTGGTACAGTCATGTAATACACTCTCCAAAGGACCGGATATCTGAGAGTCCTCTTTGTATTTTAGTGCGCGATCGTAAACTTCAGTGTTTTACGTTTTTATTGACTTGATTTTATTGTCACACTATCGATTCTCACAGATGCATGGCTTCTGTATTTTCACAGGTATTGCCATCCGCTCCACCATGGACAACAGTACAACAGTACAGTATTGTGGACTTATCCAACAACTTACAGCGAAAGCCCGTTCAGCTGTTCGTGATTTGGATCCCTCAAACGATTTGACCTTCCTACGAATACGTAGCAAGCGGCATGAGATCATGGTTGCTCCTGGTAAGTTGTGTCGAGGTCCACCTGATTTTGGAGCACCTGGAAACTAAGACTTCTATGTTGATAGCTCAGGTTGTAAAGATGGTCATCGTTCTGTTCGCTGGTCTAGGTAGTGTGTTTGTAAGTGTTTCGTGACGAACTAAGGTGACCCTACTGTACTGTGCAAATCTCGCGACCCCGGGATGGCA